AATATCGTACAGTCCTCTCAACCACAAAATATAACAGAAGGTAAACTCATGTATGTACCTCGCTTTGCATACCTCTCTCGCTCGCACGCTCGGCCGTCGCGCTAGGGTTGTCTTGTCATGTGTTGCGTTTATTTCGTTATGATAGAAAAAAATGTTACTCTTAATACTATGCAAGAAAGACAATAACAGATATCCACGTATACTTATTTATATTTAGTACGTTATTATAGTAATAGTTTGCAAACAAATACACGAGAAGGAAGTAGTATTTAGTTGAGTGGTTGACACTATTATCCAACTAATATTATAAATGCGAAAGTTTGGATGTCTGGATGTTTGTTGCTCTTTCACGCAAAAACTACTGAACGGATTTTGATGTAACTTTACAGTATTATTGTTTATAACCCAGAATAACATATAGGCTATAATTTATGACGATCTGTGACAAACTGAATTTCACGCGGGCAAAAGCTAGTTATCCAATAATTCATAAAACCTCTCTAAAACAATTCGATATTCCTAATAATTGAGTTGGCTTTCAATTTCAATTGAAATTCAAATAAATAACTTACTTACCTCCCCGAATCAACTGGTAATTTAAAAAATGAAAATTCGGNGAATTTCCTGTACGAAATCCATTAAGCAGCCAAGTGAAAGAAATTTTATGCAAATTGAATACGTATTTTAAAGGTGTGAACGAAAAGTTTTTAGTCTGTTTTTATTTTGTAATTTTATAAAGTTTGTCTTTTTGTTGTATTTTGTAAGGCTGGCTGGACGCCCTCTCTATAAACGGTGCTCGCAGAATATCAGCGTCGAGGTACTTCGTGCCTTGGCATACGCTGAGCGAGGACCTGTTTTTATTTATTTATTTATTTAAAAGGATGTGTCAAGTGTCGTTACATTGCATCGGCCCAATTGGTAGCAAGTGTTTTATTATAGACTTCCTTTTAATAAAACATTAATTTTATTTGTATGTGTTTTACTAACGGTACTTTTGGCGATCACTCACACAAATGCAATTCTCAGCTTAAGTTGATAGGACTGTAAGTAAATTGTGATTATTATTATGTATATTATTTACTCAAAAACCAAAATATACTCGTTGGGCAATGGTTTCAAAAACTTCCTTGTTAATTTTCTCAGAATTTCGTTATGCTTATTCCGAAATAAAAATTACCTTTTCCCGAACTCGAGTCTTTGAACTGTGTACTTCAAAACTTTTGCAATATTACGATTTCGTATTTTTCTCGTTTGGAGAGCAAAAAATTACATTATTTTTATGTTTTTATGCTTACTCGTAATTTTCGTGCATAATTTAATAAATAAATCGATACAATAATATTATGTATAAGAGTAGAGCGTCATTATATTAAAGTACATAGAGAAGAGACACACAAAAGTAGAGTTTATAAATGTTGTTTTACCCGAATTCTGTCACTGTAAAATAGATAAGTAGGTAAAACTATTCTGAACAAACCTGTAGGTATATAACTTTGATTTTGGTACAGCTTAAAAGTACGTACTATAGACCTGAGTATTTGAAAGGAGTACCTAGTAACTTTTTTAGTTTTATCATTCTCATTAGAAGTTACAGGGGGGGGGGGGGGACCATTTTACCACTTTTGAAGTGTCTCACTATAATATTAAGTTTAGAAAAAATATATTAGAAACCGCAATATCATTTTTGAAGACCTATCCATAGATACCCAATTGATTTCAAGTTTGCTAACTTAAATGTAACAAACTTTGTACGTAAGAAAGTTTAAATGAAACAAAATAACATTAATCATTTTAATCAGAATCAAAACGGACTAATTACATTCGATCAATCTATCCCAATCTATACCAAACAAGATAAAACAAAGAGACTTAAAATTCAATGAAGATAAATCTTCCGATTTGGTTGACGAAGGCCCGTACTCGGTTAATAATGTAAATATCGATTAGAATTTTGATGAGCGATTTACATTTTATAATTAATCAAGGTATGACCCGTTTGGTTAGCGGAACGGATTAAATTTAGGATTACGTGTGGATTAATTAAATAAAAAAAGCTCATTTTGAACTCGTGTCACTTCTGGTTTGAATTTTGCAAGTATTTTTTTAGACACAACCATAAAAAAGTATAATTATTTATTTGGGTTCATGTCGTTTTTCCAAAGAGATGACTCGTCATGGACGAAAACGTCATGTGAAAATTCGTCACACTTCATAAATCGCGTAACAAAATTATGCGACTCTCCTACGTAACAGTGTGACAAGTCGACTACGTGGCAAATTGAAAATCGCTCATTAGTTTCATTTCTTTAGATATTCTAGTTACCTACCTACTACTTTTTTCTATAAGTGTGCCATAAAAGCTTACATCGCTTACCTAGCTTTTTTAAATTAAAGGTAACCTAAATCTTTCTCTCTTGCCTATCTTTTTCTAAATTAAAGGTAACCTAAATCTTTCTCTCAGATCCAATCTCAGACAAAAGCTCCAGGTGTGAAACCGTTACCTAAATACATAGGTATTTACTGGGATTTTGCAAAAGAATTTTCTCCAAATACTCTCTCTACATGAAAGTTTTATTCAGATTGAAGTTTTCTAAGTGCACGAAAAATACTGTACCCAATCCTCTGTAGTAGTTTTGGTAAATCCTTCCAAAGCTAGGTACAGTCGGATTCAATATTGAAAATACGTTCAGTAAAGACCATTATCTCCTTCCTTTTCGCAATAATAAAATGATATGACGCGAATATTTGAATATTTGAGAGAAATAAGGTCGTTTGAGACTCTAATGTAAAGTTTCAGAGCAGTTTAGCTTTTCACTCGTGTGTGAGTTAACTAAATCTAAATATATTTAACTCAAAGGTGACTGACTGACTGACTGACTGGCTGGCTGACTGGCTGACTGACATAGTGATCTATCAACGCACAGCCCAAACCACTGGACGGATCGGGCTGAAATTTAGCATGCAGGTAGATGTTATGACGTAGGCATCCGCTAAGAAAGGATTTTACGAAACTCCACCCCTAAGGTGGTAAACCGGGATCCACGCGTACGAAGTCGCGGGCGGCCGCTGGTAGGAAATAAAATTAAAAGTATGATGATTGTTATTTACGAGTACGGGAAGGTTCTTCAAATAATAGGTTGGGACATGAAAAAGTGACTGAATTCTAACTGAGATATAATGACTGAGAGAGCTATCGTTTCATGTGAGATTCACCAGATGCAAGTTAATAACGATGTTACTTTCTTACATCATAGTAATAAAAAGCCAATGATTTTTAGATTTATTTCTGTCTTAAATGCAATATTAGAGACAAAATACTTAATTTAGAAATAATATTTTTGTATTAAAAAGTTTGAAGTCTTGCAGTGTTTACCTGGCTGACTGTACGTTATGTAAATTTTCGCAATAAAGCTTCAGTAAACCTGGGGATGAGATAAAATTAGTATTTATTAGAGACATTATTCACTTAAACACTAGTCTTTGCGTGAAATAGTTCGGTCCCTTTAAGTTTATTATCTCAATAGAGTCTCACCAGGATTTGTGGGTAGACAGAAAAATGGTGGAAGATAAGTTTTCCAAATCACATAAAATGTGTCTAAGGCCCAGAACAGACGGTGAAACGATACTGCAACGAAACTGCAACTGCTATGTTACTTTTGAGTTGCATCTAATTTTCTGCCATAGCGTCCGTTGAGAGACGCGACCAGTTTGAAACTTTCAGTTTCATTCATCAGAATCATCAGAAAGTTGCAGTTTCGTTGCAGTTGCGTTTCACCGTCTGTTCTGGGCCTAAGAAAGAAATATCAGATTGTTTAATACACTGAGGCTGGATTGCATCATCTTACTTTTACTTTGTCAATCATCAAAAGTCTGTCAAACTCACAGATCACAGAAACTAAAGGGAGATGTGATGGGTCGCAGCAGTATGCCCAAAAACAGAACACATTGTTCGTGAAAGCAATGATGATAGCAACGACGTCATAATGTAAACAGTGTACCTACCATGAGTTTACGTTAGGTGTGCTCGCTAGCGAGTACGTCAAAAATCTCTATGAAGATTTTGTTTCTTGAAAGTAGCCGCTAGGGGCGCTGCACAATATGTCACACAATTAATGTCATTTTTTACGCAGTCGCTAGCGAGCACACCTAACGTAAACTCATGGTAAGCACACAGTTTACATTACTGACACACTGATACCGCAGTGGATAGTGAGCACATACTTTGCGTGTATGAATTTCTAATGCGACACTGAGTTTGGAACTCAGCGCATTAGTTGGCATCTCTCTATATCTCTATAGTCAAACTCCATACAAAAACACAGGTTATGGTAAAAGTAAGGTAGAGCAACTCAGCCTTCATCTTCTTAAAGCGTTCGAGTCAGAATCAGTTCAGCATCAATCAAGTCCTTTGTCAGTCAACACAGTGTGTTATGTCAACACTCCCCACATTGGCTAGACTGATTGAAGAAGCCTGTTTGCTTTTTTATCCCTTTGTTGCCTTAGTTTGCCTCTTACGACACCAATGGCAAGAGAGAGTGGGAGTGATTCCATTGTACTCTTCCAGAACTACACGGCACTCTTAAAACACAAACGCCCGTATTCACAAATACTATGAGGTCTCACAGTGCGCGTGGACGCCCAGGGTGACACATGAACCAATCACAGAGCTCTATTAAACGCTGTATGTTCGATTTGCTGCTTCACTTTAGCAAGCATCGTTTGTGAATACGGGTGAATGTCTCTTAATCTAAAAAGATAGAATAAGAAATACTTAACTAGGTACGTAAAGCTGTTTCATGATAACAAAATATACTAGTTATGTATGCCGCCGCTACCAAGCGTGCGATGTGGAAGTCATTGGGGGAGGCCTATGTTCAGCAGTGGACGTCCTATGGCTGAATGATGATGATGATGATATGTTTCCCTCTTTCTTCTTTCCAAGACTTGTATCCTTGTGACAAGTTTTTTTTTCCTTTTCTTTAACTCTTCCTTTCTTTCAGGACAACCCAGATAACCAGTTCAAGTCGATCCCCCTCGGCCTATGGTGGGCCATCGTCACGATGACCACCGTCGGCTACGGGGACATGGCTCCCAAGACATACCTGGGCATGTTCGTCGGAGCCCTATGCGCGTTGGCAGGCGTGCTCACCATCGCGCTACCCGTGCCTGTCATCGTGTCAAACTTCTCGATGTTCTACTCTCACACGCAGGTCAGTGGTAGATTAACGCCTATATAAACATTACTGTGAGGTCTTGCAGTGCGCGTAGACGCAGGGTGACAACCAATCATAGAGCTCTATTTAACGCTGTGCGTTCGATTAGCTAAGGCTGGGTTGCACCATCTTACTTTAACTCTAACAAACGTCAAAAATCTGTCAAATTCCATACAAAAAACACTGGTTATCGTTATAGTTACGGGGTAAAAAAAGGTGGTGCAACTCAGACTAAGGGTGGGTTGCACCATCTTACTTAAACTTTGACAAACGTCAAAAATCTGTCAAACTCCATCCAAAAAACGTCGGTTACCGTCAAAGTTAGGTGGTGCAACTCAGCCTAAAGCAAGCATCGTCTGTGAATACGGGTGTAAGGTTTTTAAAGGTTGGAAATTATAGTTGATGACAAGCGAAAGATTTGAAACTTGTGATCGTTTCGTACTCGATGTCATTAAACTGACAGAATATCGAAGTATTATGCTTTAGCAAGAAGGTTAGTTTTTTCAGAATATTTTCTTTCGACACCCGTTGAAATCTAGGCAGATTCTAGCCTGCTAAAGTAATTCAGATTTTCAGGGATCATTGTATAAAATACGACCTCGGGAACGTCCTAAAATCTGACATAAAATTTTCAGAATCTTCAAGTCTGCCGTATTACCTGCACTCTATTTGTTCACTGTTAAAATAGAATATATTTAATAATTTGCCTTTAATCGTGTTAACGAATATTCCTTGTCAATTATACGAACGTTGTGCCGAAAATGAAGCGGCAGTTGTGAATAAATAATAGCGCAGTACTACTATATTCTCATTTAAATGGGCATTTTATGTTGATTCCCCACTAACAAAACATAAATGAGGAGATTAAAGATTTCATTGGAAATGTGACAAAAATTCTGTATTAAACGTTTAAAAAATTGACAACATCTTAGCTCAAAAGAAGATTTATCTCTTGAAATTACTTTTGCTTATTTTGTAATAAGTACCCAGTTACACAAAAGAACTGTTCTTATTACAAAATTCCTGGTAAACGTAAAAGATTACAGCTGGTCTTGGAAAATTCTGTATCCAACCGTACTGCAATATCTGCTGCAATATACAGTAAACAATCTTATAATAAACAACACCGAAGCATTTTGTAAGCTTACCAAATTTCCTGCTGCCGCGTAGCGACACACGATGCGCAAATCGTTCGTTTACGCTAAAATTCAATTTAATTTCACCTGAATACATTTACGTTTTGTCTTGTTATACCTAGTATCTCATCATACCTAATGCTCGCTAATACATAGCATAGATTGTATTGATAGTCTTTCGGAAAGAAAATAAATTTTACACTGCGCCTCTAGTCGCAAACTAAGCAAAGCTTGTACTATGGGTACTAGACAACGGATTATAAACATAATTAAATACTTTTTTTTGTAAATACATACATAATATACTTAGTCACACCCAGACCCGTCACAGAAATTAAAATTAATCATATCAATTTCTGCCCGGCCGGGAATCTATCCCGGGACCTCTCGGCATAGTAGTCCGTTCTGAACCACTACACCAAACGGCCGGCAAAATGTCATTGAATAGTCGTAAATTCTAAACAAAGAAAGTTTTGACTTTTGACTTTGTATTGCCCAGTCTTTGACTTTGAATGGCTTCTTCCAACGTTCACGTGCGTTCCGTCGACCCGTGTGTTTCCTCGAAACGCTTTTCAGCGTAATATCATTAACTAACTATGTCACACATTTAAGTTTCTAATTAAGTTGGTAATACCAGCAAGTATACGTTTTCATTAGTGCCAATGGTTTTACACTGTTCTTGTAACATACTGAGTTTACACTAATTAGGAAATGGATTTTGATGAGATAATGTCAGATAATGTCAATTTTGATGGATTCAATCAATTACATAGGGGTTGATGTTATCAATTATAACAGGGTCTGATAGCGGTCTTAATAATATTATGGTAAACTGTTTAGTGACGTTGAATATGGAGAATATTCAATAACTTTGAGACTAGTCATAACTAGTTCTAAAGGAATTCTTTTTTTTGTTTCACAAAAAAGTACGGTTGTTTTTGAGTGTTATAGTATGGTTCGTAAAATAAGTGTGCTGTATAGGTAATATTTCTTTGTGTTGGTGGCTTTACGTTAATTCATGGATATTTAACGGAAAATGTGATGAGCGTACAGAATTTATTTAAACCTAGTTAGTATGATAGGTATTCGTAAAAAGATACAAATACAAATATTTTATTTAAGAAAACACACCGTTTACACATACAATTAAAAACAATTGTGGCACTTTATTCGGTAAACATACTGCTTTGTCTGCGGGTCCCACACTAGCAATAAAACCTGTGTCGTGGGCACCCAGAGATGGGCACCCAGATATACCTACTTTTGCAAAAAATGCATTTCTAAGACTCGACATTCCTTAATGTTGATATTTGTGTTGCAAATTTTCGTCACACGAATACGTATGCAAATAAAAGGGTAAATATTTGCATTTCGCTTCCCAAATTTATTGACGATTTCCCAACGAAATGCGGAAGGGAAATAATTTCCCTGAGCTAACCGCAACCGGTCCCGCCCTCTTCGAGTAAGGAGTAGTGATGTGTGGGAATAGTTGCATAGTATTGTATTATCGATAAAATAAGATGTTCAAATTGTACAAATAACATTCCATACAAACAACTAGACTTCAGATACTTTTTATAAAACGACGTTTTATAGGTACTTCAACATCAACCACAGATTTAATCGTAAAGCTTTGATTTTGAGTACGGTTACCAGTTCTCCAAACAAGTGTGTAGGCGTCAATAAATATTCCCGTTGGAAATGTAATATTCTCAGTCAGTGGCTGTTTTTTACAAGGTAACGCCTTATTCTATGAAATTGTCAGTCAATCGAGGAAGACTTGGCGCGAGAGTTTCATAAGATTGACAGACTGAACGTTTGGTATGTTACGGGATACGAGGCAACGTTTATTTTATACGTTTCTTCCTTTTACCAAGCGTTTGGCATCATGAAAATTCTTGTAGTATTAGCACTGTTATGTTCCAATGCTTCGTCGAAGACTAACGTTTGCTGTTATCTTTTCGTGGCCTTCAAATTTGTAACTTTTTGCTCTACAGTATTTAAAAACTATACAATTTAATTATTTATAGTCACTTCACAAACTTTGCAAGTACTTTTTAGTACTAATTAAAAAAATCGATAGAGTTACTATCACATCACTATTAGGAATTGTCGCAGCTGTGCCCTCGCTGACATCCGAAAGTTCTTATTATGTGCAACTCCTTTATATTATTCTCAAAGACGCGTCCCGGAGTGTGCTTAAAGTCTGGAATGAGGGTATTCAGCGCTTAAAGCTCTGTTTGTAGTCATGTCGGCTATCACGGCCCTGGTGTCAGGCATTGTAAGCCTCCTTAGACCTTTGACATGGAACAGTGTGCTCGTAGTGGCGAAAAAATACAAGCTTATCGCTATCAAAAAGAAGAAGAACGAAGAAAACCTTTGACATGTCAAGTATTAATAGTTGTTGTAATTCACGAAGGCGAGTGAGCTTTACATGTGTGGTGGCTCACTACTGTTCGTCTTTCAACAGTTTTGATATACATTATCGTTATGTGCATTATACCTACACACACATGATAATGCTCACCCGCCTTCGTGAGTTGCAAGAACTATAAGGAGCGAAACAGAAGATTTTCATCTAATACCATAACAACGCTGCATTACAGTCCGAGAGCTGATAGAGACTCCTCCAGCCCGTCTGGCCAGAGCGTGGAGAGAGTGTCGGCCAAATCCGCAGTGGAGACCCAAATGAAATGACCCAAAATTATGATTATGTTAATATTTTATGCGGCTGCCATATCTCAATCATATAGACGACTTAAGAGCTAAAGCAGCATTAGGAGGAGTGGTACCATTGCGTTGTCTTAAATAGAAATATCTGTGGCGGGCTCACGATACGGCGAAATCTTTGTAGTGCAATGCCACAACGCATCGTGTGCTCGCGCAAATAACTTACTCATATATTTTACCAACACAATAACGTGCACGAAATAAATCATGTTTCTATTTCAAGATTTTTCTGTGTATAAAACATTTTGATTTCATTTTCAGAGAGCATTCGCCAATTTTCGAGGCGGTTATTTTTAAAAATGCTCGTCTATTTTGAACCGGGACGTTACTTGTTACGTAACAGCTCCTGCAGTTGCAGCTGTGTCTTTGTGACATCTGATATTTCTTTTGCAACCGCCTTAATATTTTCGCTTGAAGTTTGGTAGCATGTACGCTCTTGGACGTTTTGCAAATGGATACGAGGACTTTATATACGAGTGCTTATTATTTTGTAAGCCATACTAATTTTGTAAAGTAACGCTGTCTGTTACTTTTTCGCGCTTAAACTACTGAACTGTTTATAATGAGGTGGTCGATAGTTTGAGACCCAGGAAAAAACATTGGACATTTATTATCTCGGCTTTTAAAAGAGTGACAAGTGCGGGACAGGGTCCTTCTGTGAAAGACCAAAGATCACACTGACAAAGCAGCAGGAGCATAATAATTTATTTATTTCTTACAATAAGATTACATTTTTAGATGATACGATTAGAATTTAATGTGGCATCCATCACTGTATTGCTATGTTACCATAAGCTACGTTTTCATAAGAAGATAAAATAACGACACCCACTCGAAAGAATAGTTAAACACACATTTTTATAACAGCAAAGGCATCGAAAAATGTTAAGCCCACTCCTCAATATTTTTCCCTCAAATATAAAAAACAGGTGGGTGATAAAACTGTGTCCTAAACTTTATTCTACCTTCAATGTAATTAGGGTAGGGGTTCTAAATCCGAAACAAGCCGACGTAAAGAATATGTGACCCGGGTAAGACCCTGCGGGTGTATCGCTAAGCTCGTAATAAAACCCTCACGACTTTTAGATAACTGTAACTGAGTTTACTTTTTTACCATCACATCACTGTTTGGTTAGAATATTTTTCAAATATCCAATG